TCAGGATATAGATTGAATGATAAAGGAAGAGGATACAGCCTTGACATACTCCCTTGTTGTTGTTGGTTTGGGGACAGTCTAGTCAGAACTGACTCAAATGACCTTCTAGGGGGTTTTAAGAGGGAGTTAATTGCACGAGAGGAGCATGCTTATCGTACTCTTACAGAGCAGTTGGTGGATTCGAACACTGTGTGCCTTCAGGATCACAATGCAGCTTCTGAACACTAGGCCCCCAGAGAGCTCTTGAAAGAGAAACATTGTTTTGTTATGTGTGGTCAAGCCAAAACTAACTCAGTGGCAAAGAGGGAGAGCATCTGCCTTTTAACCTTTAAGAGAGTAACCTCCAGTTTGTTAAAGCATCAGTTTATGATATTCATGTTATAACATCAATAGATATAACCATGCGTCAAGATTAAAACTCCAAGGTATCTTTTTGTGGCACACAACCCACCTCATAACAGCTCACTACTCAAGACGCTTTCCCCAAAACATTCTCTTCCCTCCCTAAGCTAATCATCACCTCTGGCAGGCTCTGTTCACACACTCAGGTCTAGTCTATGACCAAAACCCTATTGAAACCCCTCCCTCACTTGAATTCCTCAGGACAACAGCAAATACAAAGTTAGCATTTCCCCAGAAACTCCCTGGCCCAGTTCATAAATTTCACATTCTGCTTTTAGTTCTCTAACTCATCACATCCCTTTCTTGGCTAAAAATTCCTTTTGATTTTACCTTCTAATACAGACTCACTGCTGCTTGCCCTTGGTCAAAAGTATATCACCTCAGCAACTGGTTCCTAAGAAACATGCCACTGCGACCCTGTCCTCTAGCTCACCTTCCATAGAGCCTGCAGATTTGTCCTCCCTTCATTGAGCCGCTTAGACTTTCCATGTCTTCAGCCATCTCAAATGACAGCCCATTTTCAAATATGTCTTCCCTATTCTACCAAATTTTCTAATGTTTCCATACTTCTTTGTGGAAAAGTGTAACCCCCCCTCTAGTTATCTTCTGCTGCCATTACAGAAATAACAAGGGTTTCTTTACAAAACCAATATTCTTTCTCACAGTTAAAGAAGATTGAAGTCTGAATTTAGAGTTCCATCTTTAGGGGAAAGTGTTCTCTATTACCTCTGGTGATAGACCATTCCTTAATTCCTTGAGAATCTGCATGTAACGTGATGTCTGTGTTCTTCTATGCTTCCTCCTGTATCCTAAACTGCTCTATTAATATCTCAAAGGTGATTGGTTTAAACCTACTGATGTGGCTTCTTTAATGTAACACCGAGAACCATGCCTAAATATGTTTAGAGCTGCAGAGATAGAGATTAGGATTTACAACGTATAATTTGAGGGTCATACTTCTGTCTATGACACTGCCATGTGCCCCACTTGCTCGATTCAGACTGTGCTCTTAACCTATCTGCAGCAGGCCTTGTATTCTATCACAATCTAATGAAAACCTTGTGTTTTCCATGTTAGCCCTGGTAGATCATCCTGTCTCTACTCAACCACTGTATATACAGTTAATACATAATATACATGCCTACTTTATTAACACTTGTCTAGTATGCATCAACTTTATTTCCCCTGTGTTCAAAGACAGGAACTATTTTTCAAACATTCTTAAATTATGATTGAGTAAGGTATGCCTTGTTTAGGCCATGCTTTTCCAGTCACTGCCATGCATCTGAGAACTGGAAATGAGTAAGGACAACAGAAAAAGGATTAATACCCTTGAATTGTACGTTAAAGAAGAGAAGAGTACCAAATATTCCATGAACTGCCAAAAAAATCAAACAGATAGGTCTTGTAAAATTGGCAGCCCAACTGTTCCTTAGAACCAAGGATGATTGCAGCATCATGATAGATGGTGAAGAGATTGAGATCGTTAACAGCTTCTGTTTGCTTCGCTCCACAGTACCACACTCTTAGTACCACTAGCCAGGAAATTAAAAGATGAATTGCTTTGGGAAAGTCTGCTGTCAGGGACTTCTCCAAAGTACTGATGAGTAACCATGTCAGTCTGGAGACTAAGGTGTGCCTGATCCAGGCCATAGTCTTTGCAGTTGCTTACCGTGCATCAGAAAGCTGGACAATGACTAAGGATGATGTTTGAGTTGTGGTGCTGGAAAAGAGTATGCAATATACCATGGACGGCTAGGAGATCATTCAGGTTCATCCTAGAGAGGGTGAAACCAGGCTGCTCCTTAGAGGCAAGGATTCTGAAGCTGTGTCTGACATACTTTGGGCATGTTATCAATGCTTGGAAGTTAGAAGGGACAGCACAAGAGAGGGCTGTTGTACATAGGGTCACTATGAGTCACAAGCAACTCAACAGCACATACCAACAAAAACAACATCTTTTGAGCATGTCATTAGGAGAAGCTATTCCTTGGAAAGGGCTATCATGTTGGAAAGACGAGGATCACTGGAAAAGAGAAACCCCCTCAGTGAGATGGATTGGTACAGTGGCTACAACAGTAGACTCAAGTGTATCAGAGATGATAAGGATGACACAGGATACAAGGTCGAATCTGCTCTTCATGGGGTCGCTGTGAATTGTCCTCGTCTTCACGACACCTAACAACAAGAACAATAGTGGCGTAATTGCTGCTGACTACTCTACTCTTTTGTTAGAAGATGGTCAGGTCAGCTTCCTCTCATAAAAATTTTCAGTCCCCACATAGAAGGAATTGTCATAGAGGGTCCTTGTGGAGTTAAATGGTAGAAAATACATAAATATTTATTGACTGATTTTAAAACTAAGTGTCATTGGAAGCAGGAACGGTATCCTCTTCCTAAACAACATGTCTTTGGAAACTCTACGAACTTAGAGAAACGACAACAGTTCTAGAACAGTGTTCAGGTCTTTTATTCATAGGGTCGCTATGAGTCACACTCAATCAACCGTAACAACAGTCATTGAATTGGAACCAACTCATAGCCGCCTCTTCTGTGATTTTCCAAAGCTGTAAATCACACAGGAGGAGACTGCCCATCTTTCTCCCATGGCACAGCTGATGAATTTGAAGTGCATGGTTTTGGGGTTACAATGAAGCTCCTTACCAATAGGCCATCAGAGCTCCCTAAATAATAGTACTGTTGTGTTGTTGCTGATTCCCATTGAGTATCATCATTTATTAAGAGTTTCCAGAGGCATGTTGTTTAGGAACAGATGCCACTCCTGCTTAAATAATAGTACTAGAAATAAGTAAATATGGAAGGAAATGTAAAAGTAGGTGGTGCAGTGATTGAACTGTTGGAAAATTCTGTAACCCATTGTACTTAATTAATGATTGTTGACTACTGACTATTGATAAGTCGCATTCATCTGCCTCAAAAGCAGTTTTCGGACTCAGTTTGTAAAAGTTGCGTATGATACGATAGTAATTTTCACAGCTACACTTCTTTTCACAATAAAGTCAAGGAAATACAAAAGTAAAGTGTCAGCTACAAAGAAATATTTTTGTTCCCTTGCTATCTAGATGTAATGGTTAAATTGCAGAGCTGAAGTGTGGATGTCAGCTCCCTCAGCTACTCATCGCTCTAGGGATGGATTTGCTCTCCCCTAGAAAGCCTAATTGAGTAATCTCTAACACATCAAACACTGATAATTCAAGAATTTTTTAAATCCTCATATTTACAAATGTATGTGTGCTAAAGGGAGAAAAAGCTTTTGTATTTCACATTCTAAATCCTCCTTCCTCACCCTCTTTTACTTTAGAACTTTTAAGAGCCATCATCAGCAACCAGTCATTCAGCAGTTTCCACAGGCGAGTTAAGTTCCCTCACCAAACTCACTGAATTACAGGCAACACAGTAGATTCTGCCTGAAGGAGCATAAAATAGATGAGGGCTGGGGGACCTGCTTTTCAGTGGAATGTGAAGCCACACTCCTAAATGCAAAGAACTCTGGCTGTTGGCAAACATGAAAAGTGGCTCTGTGGATGCTAAAAGAAAGATCAGGCCTATTTTGATCCTCCAGAAATCAAGGTCAGGGAAGATGTTTAGTTTTTAATGGTGGAGAAATCCACTAGAAAGTATTATTTTAATCTAAAATATAATGTTGAATACTACTAGTTCCTTTCACTTGTTGTTTACTCACTTGCTCATTCATGCAACAGTTTTTATTGAGTTTTGCTTAAACCAGTCTGGAGGTCCTGGTTGTTTTTATCATTATTGTTTTGTACCGTCGAGGCAGAACTGACTCATAGCTGACTCTCCAGCAGGTTTTCAGAGGCTATAAATTGCATTGGAGGAGATTGCTCAGCTTTCTCCTGTGGATTTGGTAGATTTAAGCCACCAATACAGCTCTTAACCATGAGGGCCTGCAGTGAACTTCCTTATCACTAGATTAGATAGATGATAGATAGATAGATAGATAGATAGATAGATAGATAGATAGATAGATAGATAAAAGATATCTATCACTCATTCACTCAGTTAATTACATTGAGTTTGAACCTACACATAACTGAACCCATCTCCACCGCCAGCAGGTTTCCAGAGTCTGTTGTTTGCATGGGAGGACATTGGCTATCTTTCGTCATTGAAAGTACTAGTGGATTCGAACTACTAGAGGTGAAACATTTGGGATAGCAGTATAACTACCTATGGACTAGACCACTAGAACTTGTATA